TATTTCTTTAGAATTACGATTATCGAAAAATAAAAACGTCTGTCAAGCTTTTAAAATTTGCAAAGGAACTGCTAAAGCTAAAAGCTCTCAGCGTTGATCAATCTCTGAGGGATGCTCCACGAATTCAACTTCATTAAGCATCGTTGGAGGTGATTGAATGCATATCTGGCCTTTACAATTACCATTTAAATACTCGCGGTGGCCTTCCGATGTATCGAGCCAGTGCCGCTTTCCTCCCAGGCAACTCTGGTACCAATTTGCCGACCCTGGAGGAATGGAAGGCTAGGTGGGCCATGGGCGTGAGAATCAATTCCACACGTGTGTTGTAGTACGACTCCGACTGCTGGGTCGCACGCGCTCCTAAGGGAACACTACAACAGCAAGAACTATCGACAGTTTAGTTAATATCAGCGCATCCCACTGGCCGAAATTCCGCTCATTCAATAGCTCGTTCATGTTCGATGTACAAGTATGTACGCCAAAAAAAGTGAAAAAAACTTGTTGTGGACTCCACACAGTTTCATTCCGATGCAACAAGAGAGTTTGTATCTAGTAGAAAATGTTTGCAGATTCCAAAGATTTTGTTTCAACTAGTAGCGTTTAAGATGAGTGGAGATATGTCACTTAAAAATTGAAAGCGGCCATTGTTCTCGTTCCAAATGCATTCTAGCCAATACATGTCGACCCTCATGTATCGAACTGCCTACGAATTAAATCGAGTAGTAATCATTTAAAAAACGTATGAAAAATTGAAAGTTCGAATGAAATTACTTGCCGATATCTAACACTCACTTTGATCGTGGTGAGCACAGCGTCATTGACATGGCACCGCAACAATGAGTTTCCGTGGAACATTCAAGTATGGCTAGCGAATCTTCCTTAAATGTATATGCGTACTAGGCGACATTCATTGACAACCATTCATTATAAAAAAAGTGTAAGTGATGACAATGGTTTTCGAAAAGAAACTATTAAAGTAAATGGCTTTTTTGAAATCAAAGCACCCTTAGTTTTCCTTGACTAGAAAGTGCACCCATTTTAATACAAACTCGGAGCTCTATATTGTTTGACATCGAAAGTAAGAGTAATACCAATTTTCCTTTCGTTTTTACATGACCTATTTCTGAAGTTACTGTGCGGAACACAGTATTTTTTGAATTCGACTCCTTTTCTAGCGCTCGTAAATCCACGAAGGTTTACGTCCTGTTCGCTTGTCGGTTCGGTTGGCGTTCGAGAACTGCCGTCTTCTTCTCTCGTTTCTGCACGAATCACTTTTTCTGAGGAACGAGAGAGCAGTGATTGAGTGTTCCCAGTTGTACTGCAGAGATTGAAGTGTTTCGCGACCATTGTTGAAGATGTTGTTAAAAGTGTGATCCCAGCAATATCCAGTACCACTTAGAAGAAGCCGAGAGGATCCAACGCTCTAAACTGTGTCGACGATCAAAGATCTGAGGACCTTCCGTGTACTCTACAATGTCGAAAATTAGATGCCCCAAACAGATGGTGCATCTTAATCATAACTGGTGCACAGAAGACGTGGCTGACTGCTTTAGAATACTGGATGTCAACGTGTTCCCGAAAAATAACTGATCCTTTGGTCACCGTTTTGTGCGACGACCCTCCTTGAATGAAAAGTACTATGTTCCTCGTGATACCATAGAGCTAAGATCTACATGACAGTCATTAAGCACAACCTAGACTAATAGAGACATTATTGGCGTATTCTCAAGCAGTTCGAGAAACTATAAGGTATCGGCGGATATTGGACGCGTGTAGCGCTTTGGTTAGAGGCGCCTTGCAATACACGCCGGATCGATCCTGCGCTCCAGGCTCACCAAGACTTCCATTCCTTCAGGCTCAGCAAATTGGTACCAGACTTGTCTGGGAGGATAGCATCACTGGCTCGACACATCGGTAGGCCACCACGTGTTATTGTAGAGGCCAGATATGCATTCAGTCACCTCTAACGATGGTTGATGAAAACGAATGCTTAGCGCATCTCTCAGAGATAGATGAAGGCCGAGAGCTTTATCCTTTTTGTCCTTCTACCGATATCATAGTTATTGAGCCCATGTGGAAGTTCTTGCACCTCCTTGAAATGGTTGAATGGTTAACACCAAGTATTTATGAGATCTCTCGACATGATTGTCTCGATATCGTTACTTCGACAACACTTCCTTTTTTCCATTTCGAAGCTTTCGTACAACGCGCACAAAAGAATTGACGAATTTTTCTTATTTTCTCTGAAACCACATTTATGCAATGGTTTCTGCATAAAGTGATATTAAACGCTTTGAATGTATTACAGATCGGATTTTCTACAAGCGATGAAATTGTACAAACCTTCGCACCAACCCTGTTCAATTATTATTTAATTACATAGTTATTTACTAAGTTCCCTCTGGGGTCGAGAAATTGGTACCGGACTTATCTGGAGAAAAAATCACTCTCTGCAATCCAGTTGGGAACGCTTCAGTCCGGCTATCTCAGAACTCCGGAGAGAATTGCTCCACCAGCATTTTACGACATTCAAGATGAAATGTGAATCTTCAAGCAGCAACCGAAACCACTCGTGAAGTTGGGAGATATTCGTGGAGATGCGACGAAACGAGTCGAATGTGAGAAGTGCTGAGATCCGCACAGTAGACGTGAAGGCGAACCAAGTAAAACAAAAAAATTAATAAATAGAAATGTGCTGAAAAGTTTCCCACCATAATCCAAATTAGAAGTTCGAACTCGTTAACTTCTAAAATGTGCTCTCCCTTTCCATATAATAGAACATTTGTGGAATAGCTAGAAGGACCATATATTTGAACAGGACCATTTCTTAAAAAGAAAAAATGAAAAATCGATAAGGCTTTATAAACTATTGATTGCATCGTTTTAATTTAAATTTTTTCTATCTTATTCTGTGGACTACATTCAAACTTGAATAGATACTAATGGACGTCGCCATTGATCAATAATTTGTTCCAGACGAGCGATTTGTTCCCAGCTTTGGGAATATTTCGCTCAGCAAAGTTTGGTAGTATTTCACAAATGATTTAATTTTACAGTCTTATCGCTGCTTGGCTTTGAATCTTCTTGAAGTGGGAATTAGATGACAACTGAACGCAAGACCACTACCCGCGACCACAAAGACAAATGAAGTAGATTGAACGTGGGACAAAAATGACTCTGCACTATTTGTGCGACGCAGGTGGATTTAGTAGACGATTTCCTTGTCCATATTACTCCATATTGACTTATATGTGCTTGCATTCTTGCAAATTTTGTCTTACAAATCCATTCAGCCAAAATCCTTGCCGAAGGAATCAAGCCAAAAAATAGGATTTTAATGGCGTCTGGTTCAAGTCTGCCTCCAAAAAGTTACTCGAGCATCCTCCTATAGTACCCACCAAGTCATTTGCGAGAATTCAGTCACGTCGGCAGATATTGGAAAGCTATATACAGGTATGATCTTACAGAGAAATTGGAAATAGTGAGCGTAATAATAAAGAGCGTTATTGAAAAAAGTTCACCGTCGTCGAGTCCATTCTGTGATAAGAGAACCCAACCAGTTAGCGTCAGACTGCAAAGAGTGGTAACCTTAGTACTCTGCGCCTAGGTCTCTTGATAATTCACGAGATTATAATTGAAACAGGTATTTACTCTAAGCATGCCTTTGTAATCCACCGCTTCATTCGTTTCATTAAGAAATGCTATTTAACTGCTCACTGGGACGAACTATATCCGTATCAACTATATGGTTCTAAATAAGATTATCTAGGCTAAACAGTTGAACATTTCAGTTCGAAAACTGGAGCATAACTGGAGGCTGCAACTTTCGATAAGGCAATTTTCCACTTCGTCTTTTTTTATATCCAGATGACATTGCCAGATGAAGATGTGCACATATGAATGGGTAGAAATTCTACAGAACTATCTTTCTTCGACGAGCTTCTGCAGATCTCCACAGGAGAAAAATCGCCATGAAGATATTCCTTTGGAGCTGAATTCATAAGATTATTAAGATCTTCGCCAGAGTGCCAGGATATTATAATGTCACGACCCGTTTTCAGTCATGTAGGACCATGAAATCTCCACTTTTCAAAACAAGCACGGCTCTGTGTCATTAGAAGCGCTAAGTTACAGACCACTGAAAGACCATGATGGTCTTTCCATTAATATAGGAAGAGTAAAGTAGCCTAAATTGCTGCTATATGTCCCTATAAACTCTACATGTAGTCTAAATTGTTGCTTCTTTCCTACCGCCATTTTGCTCTATTGAGCATACTGGAAAACACGTGTTAGCAATTCAGTACATCTGCCTTAAACAAAAGCTGTTGTTAACACAATCTCATGCAGCAGGAGCTATTCAGCAACAATTTAAAATTACAACAAAGTCGCTCCATTGAAACTTGTAAAAATTAAACAATGGTGAAGCTTGCTCCGTTTCACAATTATTTTGACAACGAAACAGACATTCTTTCTGGAAATACGTGATCGAACCCAAAAGATTAGGGAAGCGAAATATATTGCAAGTTAACTAGGTAAAGACCGAGTTATCCCCAAAAGTAGCATAGGATGTCTCCTTTAATCGTCGCAAAGATCCTCAACCAATGCTACCAGTGCTCGCACAGTGGACCACTTTTGACAGAAACCGTTTCCTAAGGCGAAAGTGGAGGTTAGCAGTTGATGTGAAGAAGCGCGATCTGTTTTGTTTCTCCGCGGAAAGCTCAACAATGCTTTAATCAAACCTATTTTTTGTATGAGAGTTAACTAGTCTGGATGATAGACCATCGATCAATGTGAGTTATAATTTATTTGTTTATGGTGGAAGTTGCTTCCTGTCTATAGAGCGAAGAAATCCTATGTCGAACTCACGGCGTCGTATGATCTTGGAAGACGTATTCTAAGCAAAATTAATCCCGTTTCTGTGTAATAGATGTGTAACGTTTTCTGCTGAATGGCGTACTTAAATCCTGTCTAACTTGCCGAAGACTGGCTATAATCACCACTTACTCTCTCACTGAGTCGTAGGTGGGCTTTGTAACTAACCGTGTCGCTTCCTTATGATTTTCAATGAAGTTCTGTAGATTCATGGGTTTCGATAAATCAGTGGCAACAGCTTCGTAGGGTGCATTTATCAGAAAACTTTTCGGCCCAGGAATACCTAAAACGTTTCGTAATACAGTCTGCAATATGAACTTCATTATCATAAAATCTTCACACGGAAAACATCTGTTTGCTTTAAATGATACGTTATTTAGGCACTGAGCACACACCAGCTCGACATTCCTCGGAGGATCGAAAGGCCTGAATTAATGGTGGCAAGTCACGCACCACATCATTCAGATGAAACCAACGTTCGAATAGGCGCACAGTACTCGATTTAACAAAGTACCTTGTAGAAATAGAATCTTTCCAGTATTCGTAACAGTTTATTTATAATGCTAAGCAGGTAAGAACTGCTAAATTGTTTACAATATAAAATACAGTATTATAAAGTAATCACCTTACACAGTCGAACTCTGTGTTTTCACGGGCTCTCTCTAACACAAATCCAACGGTATTGGCGAAACGTTGTGGTGAATGTTCTACTCGAGATGGCAGCAAGAAAATCTCACCTAACAGCAGAATGGAGATAGAATTTGAATAAAGCAGGAGACATGAGAAATGCATGACCCACACAGTGTGGTGGTGAACGTTAGTCGCCGGAAAGGGTAATAGCGTGTTCGGTTCCCACCGTAGACACCAGAGGTCCGAAATTTTGCAAATATCTCAGCAACAATGTGGTTAAACAGGAGACTTTCTAACGAAAACTATCAATGATTCATTATTAAAGCTTGAACAGAATTTGAACGTAACAGAGGCTTTGCGATGAAAATTATCAATGATTCATAACTAAGGCATGAATTCGCCTGCATCTACTAACGCGTGAGGAAATAACGATGGTTCATAACACGAAGCTACAGTTTTCCAACTATGCAGCGCTCAGATGTCGGAGCTACTTAAAAAGTTCTAGGCAACCGCGACAAAGGAACTTGGAACAAACGTTCCTTATGTCCACTACTAGCCAAACTTGGGCGTTGAGATAAAAGCTATAGGCGGAAAGAGGCTTCGGTTTTTTGACCGGAAGCATTCTGAGGGCTGTAGGAAAACGGAAAGTCTACATATTATCGTTAATTTTTCTAATAGAAAGCATATATATTGTTGTTGATTTTTTATTCGTAAAGAATAAGTTGATTACCAACGGATTTTGAAATAATCACTTTGGGGACTCTCCAATTATCCGGGCTTCTGGCAATTCACCTAAACACGTCCCACTTTTAATACCAAAAAAAGTCGTTTAAGTGAAGAAAAATCATTTCCAAACAAAAAATTCGAATTCTCAGGTTTCTTTGAACTTTCGAAAATGAGGCAAATTGTGCTCCATGTATGTTCAGCCCAAATGAACTATCCGCTTCGGACGCTCCTTTTCCACGTGCTCACACCCTCGTATTCCAATGTATTGTCCACTGCCCGTATGCCACACGCGTGACATAGAATGCAAGTATCACAGAGAACATAAGACCCGTTTTCGCTTTTACTAGTGAGTGCGGTTGTGCTTAAAATGGGATTATTCTCGTATGAGGTTTCTGGTAGAAATTATGGGGTAGATTTGATTGATTGCTCCAGGCATCAACACAGGATATATTAGCGTTAAATAATTTAGTTTATTTATATGCCCGAAATTTTTCAAGGAGAACTGAACAAAATTGTCACAGTGAAGCAGTTTCGGCGAACGTATTTTGCGCTTTCTTGATGCTTCCTGACATAACCACAATGATGTTGAGAACTTTGCAAAACTCCAGACCGCAAGTGTCTGCTGTGGGGATCGAACCCCATGTTACCCTATCCGGGGGCTAACGCGTTCACCACCACACCATGCTGGTCCTTCGTTTCGCCTGCCTCTCAGCTAGTTTCCTGACACGACCACAATGATGCTAAGATATTTTGATAGATTTTCTCAAGATGTTTCCCCGGCCTACTGTAAGCAAGCAACTCAGCCCTTGAAGAAGTACCTCAACATTTCACTTTTAATCTGAATAACTAAACTCAGCCTAATCGATTAACATTAGTTGAGAGAGTAATGACCTTCCTTTATTCTGATATCACGTGGTTGTCCACGTTCAATGACCTTCAGCACCATGTCGCCCCTTTGTTGATAGAAAAACTACAAATAATCGTAAATTCTGCAAACTAAAACTAGTTCAACAACTTTACACCGCCACTAAAGTACTTCTTCTCCTTCTTCCAAATGGTAATCGTCTCTCGAGTTTGGTCCTCCAACGAAAAACAACTTTAGTTGGTTGGAAAACCTAAAGATCAACGATTTCTTTATAGAATGAGGATTTTAACAGTCATAAATAACCATTTTGATAAACTGGAATGCCACTGTGATGTCATCTGCACATTCTTGTCCACGTGACCTCGATAGGAGTCATTCGTAAGAGTGACAATGCCGCTCATATGACCTCTTCAGAGGCCATTTTTTTTATTTTGCCATACAGACCCGTTCCTTACACTTCTAGTAATCATTCAATAGCTTATCTAGCACAAATTTTGTAGCGGATATTGGATAGGAAAAGTAGTTAGAAATATAAAAAAGTTTCTATCCAACGAATTCCTTAACGGACAATTTGAACGCCAATTGCGGTTGTTTAAATTCTAATCGCTGTAATCATTTACAGTCATCATATGATCGTATTGTCTTATGTGATGAACAAGTGTAAAAAGTACAGAAATAGACTCAACATAAACATCAAAATGCTGACACCAGTGCGCTTCTATGCTAGACCTTAGTGAAAGGATAAAGAATAAAGCTCTCGGCGTTGATCAATCCCTGAGGGTTGCGCCATGCATTCGACTTAATTCAGTGTCGTTGGAGGTGATTAAATGCTTATCTGGGCTAAACAAAGACTCGCGGTGGTCCACCAATGTAACGAGCCAAGGCTGTTATCCTCCCAGACAAGTCAGGTACCAATTTGCAACTCCAGAGGAATGGAGGGCTTGGTGGGCCATGGGCACGGGGATCAATTCCACTTGTGTGTTGCAGGACGCCTCCAACCACTGCGCCACAGGCGTATACCGCAGTACTATACAGCAAGCAATGGCACTCATACAGCTCATACCCGTACAGTCTTTCCTATAACTTTCATGTTCTCAACCCCTCAAGTTTTCTGGATTTCTGGATTAGTTTTCTATTTTTTTGGAGTTTCTTGGATTTTCTGGTTTTTTCAAGTATTTTTCTATACGAACACTTTGATTTGTTGTCAAAAACCAAAAAGTCCGTGACAACCGAAAATTAATCGCTGTCGCCGAAGTGTTAAGACCATATCAAAACATTCGTTTACCACACTTACCGTACTATCCCAGTAACAAAGCGCTCAACCCACTGAAGGATACCGAGAATGGTAAAACCTGATAAAAACTAACTAAAAACAGAAAAAGAATTTTCGATCACGGTCTAAAACACTTTTTCATAGCCAATGAAAATGAAACAAGATGAATTGTGTGTGCCGTAAGTTTTTAATCGTACTAAAATATGTAGCTCACATGCACTTGTTGCAGACGGGAGGTACGAAGTCTTCTTTATTCTCTTCTAACCATTTTATTACATCTACCGTTTTTGACTCCATCTCTTATCTATACGGACTTCTATAGACATATTAACAGAAAGAGCAATGGACTTATTTCACGAAAATTTTCTTCACAGAGTAAATAAGATTTCGTGGTTCGAACGGAGAGAGCAATTTTCTTCATTAATAGCGTAAAAAGCCGTAAGACAAAGCAATCAAACAATTTGCTATTTTGATATTATTTTGCAGTGCATAAAAAGATAAAGGATAAATCATTGATCACCCCCGACGAAGGCGCCATGAATATGCCTTCATGCATTGCAGTAAATTGTGATAGCCTAAAGATGCATTAAGTAAGTCTTTTTATTTTCTCAGAAGAATCTGGCAACAATTTGTGGAGCGCGAAAGAATAGGAAACGGAGTTAGCTCTGAGCACTGAATCGAACCGCCGTCCGAGTAACTATTGCAACGCATCTCTAACCATTGTGCTACACGCGTAGTCTTACAGTATATAGAACAATGCTTATTTTCACTAGTTTTTCTAAGTGCAATCATGCTTTGCACTTTGTACAATAAAAAACCGAAATTAATATAAGGTAAGAAAAATGCGAGGCAAAACAGACTCAGAACAGTAAAAATCGTGAAAATTAACAAAATAGTCTGAGTTAAGCCTTAAAATTTGACACCAACTTAGGATAAAAGTGTGTTTACGTTTACACATACGTTTAATAACGCACGAAGAAAGAAAACTGAGGAAGCGAGGAGTTCAAAAGATCTGAGAAATTCGATTGGTCGTGATAAACATGGAAGAAAAAGTAGGCAAGGCAAAGAAACAAACTGATAATTGGAATTTTAACTCTGATATAGCAAGTAGTAGTTGAATGTGTAGCGGTCCATGGACGAGACCGTGTAGGAGTTGATTGATTTCTGTAGACAAGACCAATCAGTTATTACATCTGTCATCTCCCATATTTCGTCCGCCCGATCGAACGTCTCAGAAATTGAGAGAATCAACTCCTATCGAATGTCCAGAGTGTTAAAACTATCGTTTCCTGACACCGTAGGACTCATGAGTGAGATGTCTCCAGTTTTGTTTAACAGTACGATCTTGATGGTGCCTTCTGTTAGATTGATGGGAAAATTTTGACCAACGGCTCAGTCTTGGTCAGCGATTGTTGGCTTTGCAATACACTATAAATTTCACAACGAATGTTATCACCTCTTGTTTTGTCGCTGCAGAACCTATCAGAACACTTCAAACTTTTTAAACTTATTACTGATTGCCTACTCTTTTTAGTGGCAGGGTATATTGCTAAATATAACTTCAGTGAATCTGGGATATAACTAAGATGATGCTGAGTTATTTGCAAAACTCCGGACCGCAGGTGTCTGCGGTGGGGAACGAAAGCGCTGTATGGGTTATTTGATGGCGTTAGATCCTTATCGCTCAATGGATGCCAATCGAGCAGAAGAATGCCATCTTTCTCTCTGCTGAAAGAACTCATTTCGGAGATCTCGTCGCTAACCTCATTAGAACGAACAGGTTATAATAAAAGAAGTAAATGAAGCAAAGGAGTGAAGGTAAACAAAGTATTGAAAGAAAAGGTTTAAACGTAAACCATACACCTGACTAGTAGTTAACGCTTCACAGTCATCAATGTTCGGAGTGACAGTAAAGAAAGTCCCAGTTTTTGAATGCTTATGATCTATTCACATAGATGGAAATGCTCTGATCCAGCTCTCCCAGAACTCTATCGTAAATCATCTTAAGCAGCGTTTCACAACATCCATAAAGAAGACGAAATCTTCAAGCAGCAGTCGAAATGTCGAAAATCTTCGTGGATGATGGACTCGAGGAAACGAATCGACTGCGAGTGCTGAGATCCACACAGTAGCTTCTTCGTGGGCTTTGAGTCATATAGAACAAAATCAACATATATTTGTATTCGTTTTTTCCAAATTTTTGTATACTTTCTTATTACGTAAAAAATAAACCCTTGTTTTTTCTAGAAAGATTTCTTTTTCGAAATTCAAGGACCTACAAACAGCTGCCGTCTCATCCTGCCAGAGTGTACCGATCGCTTGCCATACCATAAATGAAAGGATGCATGCCATAATACAAGACGAATCTAGACCAACTATCAGTATTCTGGGAAATATTTAAGAATCGATTTTCGTTCAATATGATGTTTTTCCACACTACGATATTATCGTTTTACGCGAATGACTAAAAGCTCATTTCCATGAGTGGTGCATAGGCCAGCTTTATCCGTACCAGATACCATTGAAAGGCTTGACTTAATACTTTACAACATTTTTTTCTTTGAGGTTAGCGAAAGTAACAAGTCTACTCTACCAAACCAATGAGTTTGAAAAAGTTCAAAGGTGAATGCGAGAAGTTGTGTCTTCCATCTCTGAACAGCTTTTGGTGAAATCAGTTGTTGCTATGCTATAGTGGTTTAAGAAATGAGTGGCCCATGTTGGTGCTCATATTTGAACATATATCCATACTAAACTCTTTTTCTCACATTTATTTATCGCAAAAGTTTTTGTTAAAGAAGTGACTTATGAGAATTTCGAAATAGGAAGTTACTTTTCAGTCGTGCCTTTACATGCCACGATTTCGAATAGCTCTTTTGAAGTCTCAGATCTTGATGACTGCGATCTGTATGCGGCCATTAGTAGAGAAAACAGGGTTATTTACTAGAAGACTTCATTGCATTATCCTTAAATATCTGTGAAGTAAAACAAATGGAAGAACGTTTCTTAGGGATAACGTGGCTATAAATACATCTCAATACTCATGCGCTTGTTGGTTCTACTCCTTGCCCTAGCTAGCGAAGCGCCCCAACTTTCCAGGGTCGGAAACTATTGGTGGCCGTCCAAAAGTTATGATTGTACACACCAAATCTGCATTCAGTCATCTTTACGATTCCTAATGAAGTAAAATCTATAGGAAATCCCTCGAAGATTTGTCAACAGCGAACTATTTTAACGATTTATCTAATCGCTATAGATTATCATTCTTTCTCCTATCCGTATCAATATGGAGGCTGGTTCATTTATTACTAACCTCTTCTAAAAGATGGCCGGAGTTAAGGAGAGCCTGCGTATTCAGCGGTTGCCAATTCTCCATGCTCTTTCTCATCCGGCTGCTTCAGGTGCGAACCCGATTTCTGATTTTTAACGCATTTTCAGCAGAAAGAAGCTCATTTTGGTGAGCTTATCCAAATCTGTTAATGCATATCACAAATTATTCCATATAGTTCATAGTGCTGGTTTTTTTCGTTCCGACTGATATGTGTCGATTGCACTTAATTGTGGCTACCGCTTAGGTCAAAGCAGACGGGCAAAGCATTCTGATTAATCCCGAGTTATGTCTTAAAACCGACTTTCGATAAGCCACGGCAAAAAATAATCAACATCTTCTTTGATTACTGAGTTAACACGGGTTTGATAGAAAAGGTTTATTCGACCAACGTTTCGACGTATTCATCTTCCAATACCTTCTGATGAAAGGGTGTTAGCCTAGTAATCGAAAAACGTGTTAATTAATTTCGAGTTGTTTCCTGTTAGTGATCGTCTTGGATCAAGTTGGCCATTAACTAATGGCAATATGTCAAATCATACAGTTGCGGGATGTGCGAATATTTTCCCAAACCGGTTTTTACACGATGTGTATTGATTTTAAACGAACAGAATCTTAAACGAGATAAACCATTTCTACAAGTATGTTGCGGTTAGGCATTCATCTAGTTTTCAATGAAATCAGCGACGATTGCCGTATACATGGACGTGTACTGATTACAATGCATATGGTGAGAAAATGGAAGCTTCCTTGCGGTTTGAATATCTTAGCTCATTCCAAACTTCGAGCCAGAGTCTCGTTTATCACACTTCAATACTATTACAGTCACATGGCTCTAAGCCCACTGTAGGACAACGATAATGATAAAACCTGATAAAAGTACTCGAAAAAGACAAAGGAATTTCAACGACGGTGTAAAGAATTTCGAATAGCCAGTGAAGCGACGTGAGATGAACTGTTATTGTCGTAAGCTTATAGCTAAACTAATTGAGTAGTTCACACGGATTTGTTGAGCATGGGAGGAAGTCTTTCTTATTCTTATCTTTCCATTCCATTACATCTTCATTTACTGATTACATCTCTTAAAAAGGACGACTGTAAATATACTGGCTCACTGCTATCATAAGAAGTCATAAGTTGAACTATTAAACGATCTAATATTATCTTCCTTAGCGCAGAGGTCGGAGGCGCCCTGCAACACACACATGGGATCGATTCCTGCGCCAGACAATGCTTAATGAGGTCGAATGCATGGTGCATCCCACAGGAATTGATTTACGCTATAACGCCGAAAACACTACTCTTTTTTTAAATAATTTTTGCCGATATCTGGCATCTTGATGTTTTTCATAGTGCATAAAAAAAGTTAGAAGATAGCTAACTAGAGAAAACAATTAGAATGTAAACCCTTTTTTTCCGCGAACCACAAGTTTTCCTGTTCTAAAGCGACGAGGCTCTGGCGTTCTTATTTCATACTTCATATTTCGTCGCTTTTTTTGTCTCAATGCTCCTATTTCGAAAGCCGAAACAGCTGGACAGTGCAGATATGGTGCAACAAACGTTATCCTATATGCACCATAATGATGCTAAGATATCTGCAAGACTCGGAAATCAGGCCAGCTTCAAACAAGTGACTACTCTTTCTGGGTGCTCACGTCCTGCCCACTGAGAGTGGCTAGGAAGGATAATCACGGGTTCTAAGCTGCTCCATAGTCCTAATTTTCCAAATATCTTGGCATAATTGTGGTTGCATTTAGCATATTATCCTGTCATGAGGAAATAAGAAGCTGTAAAAAAAAGTTGAATTTGCAATGTTAGCTTTTTATTTAGTGCCTAGTGCAATTTTCATGGCAGGGTATTATGTGTGATACAACCACAATGATGCTAAGATACCCATGACCGACTTTCTGTTAACCTCGGCATTAATTGATAATTCAATGTTTTTCATCAATAAGCAGACACGAGGTTGTTAATATAGAATTTATTAGAACACAATTGCTGACGTTTCGGCGGTTTCGCCTTCTTCAGAGCCTGGAAAGGTCAAATTGAGATGTGATCTACTCAGCCAAACACTTTCACAACCCTAGCAGATAAAACTTGACAATTTGCTAAGATATTTGCAAAACGCTAGACCGCAGATCTCTTCGGTGGGGAACGAACGCGTTATTACCTTTTCCGGGCGTCAACACGTCCACTCACACATCACGCGGGTCCTTCGTTTAGCGCGTCTCTCAGCTAGTTTCCTATAAATCGGTACCATCATCAGTCACCCGTCAACGAGATTGATACTGAACTATAGGTGCCTTGTCCCGGATCAATTTATGGGCCAATCCCGTTGACTGGTGATTGCTGACAGTACTTATTGATCAATAACACGGTAGAGAGAAAGGCGAAATCAAGGACTTTCGTGGTGTGGTGGTGAACATGTTAGCCCCGGAAAGGGCGCTAGCGGTCCGGAGTTTTGAAAATATCTCAGGATCATTAAGATTATATGATTATATTTTACATAATACCTTGCGAATAGGAAAGATTAGGCAGTAAATAAAAAGTGACCGCATTGTGATTTATACCACAGCTTCGGCTTAACTGTATCCAATGCCGATTTGTGCTTCCCAGATCAACCTTGTCGGCGATTGATTGCTGATGGCATTGATCTATGGAGAACAACTGAAAGACAGGAAAAACAAAAAACCCATATGGTGTGGTGGTGAAAGCGTTAACCCCCGGAAAGGGTAATGACGCGTTCCTTCGCCACCACTGACACCTGTGGTCCGGGGTTTTGCAAGTATCTCAGCATCTTATTGTTGTATCACATATAAAATGTTGAACATTGAGCTGTTTCTGTTCAAGCTGCAATCTGTCAGCCTTTGTAGCTTCTAGACTACAGACTACAGACTACAGACTACAGACTACAAACTACAGACTACAGACTACAGACTTTGACTTATGCTGTGGCTGCTTCCTTTTTAGCTGCGTTGAGACTTTTAAAAAATTAGGCTTTGCTTGCACTTTTTGTAAAGTTGAAGTCTAAGCAATTTTGTAATTGAATGATCACTTTATGAAAATGATACATACACTTACAATAGAGCAAAACCTGTTCTGTAGCCAACCATCTTCTAATGTTCTCGAGTATTCTACCATGATAAAAATTATCGGAAGACACCAAAAGAACACATGGTCTATTTTCGAAATATTGCCAAGAGCATTATTTTTTTTACCTCTGCTTAAAGTACTAGTCGTAAAGTATTTTTTAAATGGCGCTAGTTAGCAACAAGCATCGTATCATGAAGTAAATTTTCTCTAGTCTTGTAAGTTCAGCAACATTAATATCACGACTAAACCTACTCACAGCTAGAAGGAACATCTCACAGACTAGGAAAGGAATGCTGGTAAGTGTTTAAGTTACATTCTCTGAGATTTTTACCAACTTACTTCGTTGTTCAACATGGTGGCTGTGTATGATATAGATATCACACCGACGGATACCGGCTGGTCGTTCACAGTCGTCCATCACATCTTCGCGGTGTTCGCGCACTTCCACTCAGATCACTTCGCCAGTCAGTATGTGAATCTCCATTTACTGTAACACTTATGCAAGTCGGCAAAACCACGTGTACTAACAAGTATTGCAAAGTATAGATATCAATTAAAGTGATACTGGTTTTAAGTTTACGGGTTTATGTATTAAATTAAACCACTGGTATGCTTACGTATTTGTTGGTGTAAACGCCGTTTTTAGAGCACCTTTGATGCATCCATGATAATGCACTTTGATTTCGATGCGTTTTTGCGGCTTTTGCTGGAGAGTTTTTTCCTTTGTCTTTTGTATTCAATCCTTAGCTGCCCATCACAAACCTTATACCTGTCGTGGTCAGAGGAAAGCTGCACTTTCCACGTTACGCTTTGCAAGAAACTGCTCAACTACTCGCCCTAGTTTCATCGTCCCATCACGAGACTCTTGCTACTGAAGTGGACATAAAAACACCGTAGGTGGCGAGAGCACTGCAGGTGAAGAAACACAAAGATATCACTGTTGCAAAAATACCAAAACGAAGAGGTAGGAAAAGCACAACAGCAATGCGTATTGAGTTCAATACAGCTGGCAATCAAGGAGGGTGGGCGTCCTCCTAAGGTGCAGACGGCGAAAGTTATGCGTTATATTGAAAGTTCTGAAAGTACATGTTGCTTACAACGTAATCACCAGATTAACGAATTAAAAGTGTTGCTAAATATTTCGAAAAAAGGAAAGATCAATTTCAGAGTACAACGTCATCTAATTTCTCTGGTGTAATATCGGACTGTAGTACGTTAGCCGTCGATCACTCCGAAATACCGTGGCAGTTACAACTGAGGTCTGAAGATATCCAAAGCAACTTAGTGGACTCAAGAAGCCACTCGTCTGAAGCAGGCACCTCGATTAAAAGTCAGGATAGAGATTTCCTCCAATGTGAAACAAGTTCGTACCCAGAATATATTAGAGCCCGTGCAGGGACATCTCCTGGAGATGCTCACAAAAGCTGTAGGAAGCCGTCATCTAATGAGAGTGACTATATAGACAGCAGTAGTGGAAATAACCTGTCATTTGGTAGAACTTCACTTGAACATACGCGAAGTAGCAGACGAAGTGAAAGCTCACCTGGTCCAAGAAACAATAAGGATTACTTGGGTTAGTTTTAATATTTTCCATGATTTCATAATTGAAACGCTGGTCGCCACCAAAATCTTACACAGTTATGAGTTCGAACTCGAATATGTCACGAAATCTTGGTGTCATTGATAAGCGGGACAGCACGCATTAGGCAGTTTTTACTCTTGATTGAAATCCGTTTCATACAACAAGTAGAACTGAGAGTAAATGTGATCGATTTGTTTCTGTTGTTGGAAACCGGTAACTTTACTATCAAGTGAAGTAATCCTCCATGAGATGGCTTGTGTGTCCAATGTTTTCTACACCGCTCGAAGATAGCCAGTTCATTGCCACAGTCCTCAAAATGTAGAGTTATTTACGACAAAGGACCACTAAAACTAATGTCGGTGCTTCTGTCATCAGTCGGCCTCATCCCAAATGAGTATGCACCAATGAGGATGACCGAGACTATTGTCATGAAGTTTACGTCGTCTAAACCTAAGCCGAGCCGATTATTGCAATAGTTATAGACTCCCAGCGCTTCCAACGTCAAAGCCGATGGGATGATTATCAAGCCTCCAAGGGTTTGTCAATTTCAACAGAAACGTCAACACGTCCTCAACGTGTGGTAAGTTCGGTCACTTTGAAGCAGCCTACATCTGGTTTGGTGACACCTTATCTTGAAGATAAGGCGACTATGCAGGCCAAAACGTCAAAAGATTCGAAACATTTCTGCTACGCTTTTACATAAAATAGCACAGAGCTAACTACTTACTACTTTCAGGAAGTTTATGTGTGGCAAATTTTAAGTGTTTCTCCTTTCTTCCTTTAATTTTTTCTTAAATTCTAACTTTTAAATTTTTAATTTTTTTCTCGACTTTTTTATAATATGTACTACAAGCAGTGAGAAAGATATGTACGTAGACGCTGAAAATCTACGGCTCTATCGAAAATAGCACTTCTCTTGAAGTCGGTCTAGAAATACTTTGGTACAGCGTAGTAGTTAAAAGTGCCTGGCCATGTGCAGATACGTTCAAACCTACTCCAACCGAGCTCGCCATCTCACCGATGTCAGCAAATCGCTACCAGCTTTATCCGTAAAGATAAAAACACTAACTTGGCGCGTTAGTAAAACCCGAAAGTCATTGTTTAGGGCCCTACATAAACTCAATCATGCCCATGATGATCAATGATGAGGGCTCAATGGTTTTCGCAGAGCATCCCTAGGGGTTTGAGAACCTCCGAGGTTTATTCTTAGCAATCAGGATCAAACGCATCTCTGAATATCATCTATTCTATCTAGCAAAACTGTTCTAATCAGTTCTCTCTGTAAAATCATTTCAAGAAGAGCGTCAGCATAGAGCATCGAGGTGATTCTTCGTTGGTCGATAACGACAGAGAATTCGAAGCTCTGAAGGCAAATAAGTCAGCTCAGAAGGAATGGAATAAGCGCTTCCCGGAAGGAACAATTGTGGTAAACCATTGGTCCATCATTTTATTATTCTTTTTATCTTCTTTATTGTCCAAAACGTCAAACGCCGCAAAAAAATCATTACTTCGTTATGTGAAAAATAAGTCCCTCCTGCTAAGGTGTATACGGATGGATCCTGCATCGACAACCGAGCTTCTGGATTCGGCATATACTTCGGACCGAATCATCAGCTGAATAGGTTGGTGTAGTTTTACTTACATCTATTAGCAAAGGAGAAACAAAGATTCGACTCTCTGTGGTCCCGATTCTAAGTTGATTTTTTTTATTTGTATATTACTTGATCCTTCTTCACATCTACTGCGAGGATCCCAGCACTTCTCACATTCAATTGGTTTTCTCGCATCCATCGTCCACGAAGATCTTCCAACTTTATGTGTTGGTTCGGTTTCTGGTTGAGAATTCTCATTTCATCTTCAATATAGTAAAATGTTGGTCGAGCAATTCTCTCTGGAATCCTGATATAGCCGGGCTGGAGCGTTTCCAATCGGAATGCAGAGAGTGGTTTTTCTCAGGCAAGTCCGACACCAATTTCCCGATCCCGAAGAATGAGAGGTTTGGTTGACCTGATACGGAATCGAACTAGTATCATGCTCGTGATGACGGACACCGCTACCACTATACTATTCACCCCTTCTGATATAATTTACTGTCACCTTTTTCATGGCACCTTGTTCTCTGCAATTATGGTTTATTCTACTGTTTAGGATAGATTGAAGACCAACTGAGTGTTCACAACAAATCGGCAAATCTTTAACAGTTAAAGTTCTTTGCTAGGCAATTAAAAAATGAAACACTTTCTAATTCTCTGACATCATGTTTCATCAATATGCCTTCTTGCGGTTAATAGATTTCTTGTCAGCGGGGTTCGGACTGTAATCTCCTCGGTCAAACCTTGCCTTTTCTCCCATTGTTTCAGCGAAAATTTCATCGAAACACACTATGGGGCGCTCTCCTGTAAGACTTCCCTTGCTTTAGACTTCTTCACCATATCACCTTAGCGAATTGTATCTACATCTCATTTCATACAAAAAGTGCTGCGTTATCTCTTTAGATCGGAAAAAATTATTGGTCCAATCCACAACAGCGGCCTAGCCGAAATATTAGCAGCTCAAATGGCATTGCAACTACTGAGAAACTGGAACGGCTACAAGTCCGTTTTTAGATTTTCAGTTATCCCTAAAACGTTCCAATCATTCTCTCTTTCTTTAGAAATGAACCCGTCATTTTGCGTACAGATTTTCTACCTTTAGTGCAAGCAATGAACGGTGGTGTATGTGACAGGTAAGATGATCTTTTTCGTTTCGCTTAGTCGATGTTCCTTTTTGTTCCCGTTTCTTCTTCTTATTAATTTCTCCACTGATAGTCATTATCTACATACCGCTTTAGATTTTACGAGGAAATAGAGAAAGTGCGAAACTTAGCAATGCTCTATCCCAATGGTGTCCGTTTTGAGCATGTCTATGCACATGATGGTGACCCCGGTAATGAACAGGTAACTCATAATGTCGTTTTCATTCCGAATTGTTTAACCGACTGTTTGTACTTTTTTCACTCTTAAAAAGCTCTTTGATTGTAAATGAAGCAAAGATCTGTGTAGAGATTCTCTGTAATACTGTTTTCAGACGCATTTATGAAGGAGCTGCTTTACAATAACAATTTTCTATAACTTTGTAGCCCATAGAAAACTTTTTCTGCTGGGATGGTCTTTATCTAGGCTGATGCTCTAGCCAGGATTGCGACAGCATCTGCGAGACGATCGCGATCAGTGACCGTACCACGATTCAGAAATTCGTCAGCACTTGATGGGCGGCGAGCAAGATCGAGAAGTCGACGGCGAAGCTGTAGAAAAAGAAGATCACGAAGCACCACCAGGGGTAAATTGCAGCTCGTTTTTCGAAGACTTTGTGAGTGCCTTCAAGGCGCAACACAGTGCATTGTAGTTTAGGGCTAGTGATCGTTTATAACTATTCATTTCGTCTGTGCCATTTTTCTTGATTTCATTGAGTGATCTTTCCCTATCGGTACATTTGTTATATTGATGGCGCTGTCGGTTAGCAGTTCTTTATATTGATTGAAATTTCAAAATAATGCGAATAGTCCAACAATCGACATATTCAAACCGTTTCAATGCTTCACAAAGAAAAAAATAGAAAAGGGCTGGTGGCTATTTGTTGAAGCAATGTGAATTGCTCCCATGTATTCATTGTGCTATTTCAAATAAGCATGGTGAGTTCCTTACTCCAAGCGATTTGTACTTAGTTACTTGGACACTTGGATGGCCCGTCTTCAACGGTTGCGCGTCTCCAACATAACTTCTATTTTTTCGGAGTACTGCTGGTTTAGCCATTGTGGTTCCGTGGAGTACCAAGGTCAGCCTGGCCAAAGTCGGTCACAGGTCGTCACTACCACAGGCAGGCGCGACCCTTGTGGATCAGAGGGAAATATGCCACCACGCGAGTAGTTTGATACCAAGACGATGGTGGATCCTGATATGTTTGGGAGACCCTGCCAGGAGGTTGAATCTCCCCGCTGTACATCGCTGCCCTACAACCAGGAATACCTCCCAGCCATGATGAACCGGTAAACCGTTGGGAAGTTTATTAGTATTGGTAACAATGGTCTATTAGTACTGCAAGTAAAAAAAAAGATAGAAGGATAAAGCATTAGGAGAACGATCGGTCTTTTAGAAATGCACCATCCACTCGACACCATTAAAAATGGTGGAGATGATTGAATTCGTATTCGTTATGTGTAACTTACCGAAGAGGAACAATGCGTCAACAAAGCATTTTTCAAGAAAAAAGTCGTTTAATCTCGGTAGTAACAATCAATACCTTTTTGAATTTTTAAACTAACATGAGATTAATGAAGGTGATTATTCGGCTAACATTTCGACGTCTTCGTCTTTATAAGGGCCGATGATCCAAGTCGATAGGCCACAGTCGTTCGCCTTCTCGATGTGGTGTCTTCGTCAACGCACAAAGTCGGACCTTCTTCAGTAGAGCACTGCTGGATTTAGAGAACCTCCCCCGGCTCACATGCTGTTTTGTACGGGACGACTGTTGTTGATAATGACTAACCGTTGATAACAATCTGTTTTTACTGTATAATCCATCCTGCAGCATTCCGAATTATGTTAACTAGTCCACAGCAAATAGCAAAACAATATTTTTCAAACCAACCGCATACATTCTTCGTCAGTTATCAACAACAGTCGTACTATTTAAAGGAGCGCTGGCGGGTGGGATTCACATTAAGAACGGTGTTTCATTGAAGAAGATCAGTCTCGGGGTACGACTACGAAAACGAACAAATGTGGAGCATCGACTCGTGTCATCGGTTTTGATGAAGTTGAAGACGTCGAAGCACTAAGCGAATGAACGTCTTTACCAACCTCATGTTCCTCTCCCCTCCCTCCTCCCCTTCCTCCTTTCCTCTCTCCTCCTTCCCTCCCTCCCTCCCCTCCAGACTAGTTACCAATTTGTAAACTGTGGGCTATGGAGAGATGGAGCGCTTGCTTTGCCACGGGTGCGGAGGAGAACCAATGGCACCGTGTGTATTGCAGGGTACCTATCACCATTGCGTTAAATTCGCCTGGTAATGAAACCAACCCAAAGCTGACAACTTTAATTATAATAATTACAACTGTGCGACAGAAAGCGACTCGAAGTCGGCAGTTCATTCTTTCGGTTTAATAGGAGAACTTTTGCAGAGCTCAATCGTTCCCGATCACGTAATAATGATCCACATCACATACGAAGCCATAGCGCATTCGTTCCTGGACGACGACGTTGACGAAGTCTGCGTCAACAAACACTAGCACTATAGTCGATCATTAATTTCCGCATAACTTTAAGCATTAATACCAAAACGTACAACTTACAAGTAAAAACGAATTACTACAGGTTTATGAACGCTTTTATAATAAATTGTCCAACATTCTTAACAAAAGCACTATTCATGACCGAATTCTGATCTTGAACTATTCCGTGTGCTCAGCCTGCTGTAAGAATATTCACATCCATCATTCGAGTAGTAAGAGAAAACTGATGTACCTACCACAATAAAAGGAATTCAAGCACTCCATAGCTGGCCAACAACTCAGTGTTGTAACTCAGACACTAACAGTTGGTCTACGTGTTAATAAAATAAAGAAAGAAAATAAAAGACAGTAGAATAAACGAAAAATTCTTCTTTCAAGGAGAATCATGTGCGATTTTCTAAGACCGAGTATTTTTTCACAGACTAAGCAGAAGATCTCTTGATTTGCACCGAAGTACTGTAAGCTAACAACAAGTAGGATTAATCACAACTCAGGATCTGTTGAAAACAGAAATGAAATGAAAAGAAAATAGAAGAAGGTAGAGGTCACGTGATACTTCGTTGTGCTTGCCTGCAGACGATTTCCTATATTAAGGCATCACTTGTTGCGTCTACTATGCGATAGAAATGTAAAATAAACTATGTTAAAACCGTGAGAAACTAGGAAGCAGAATTCTACCACTAACAAACTAATAGTTATGTTTACAGCATGAGAGAAATCATGCGTGATTCAACGTGAGATACTTCGCCACCATTTTTTCGACAGAAACATTCTCTAAGCGACAAAGCAGGTCCAATACAATATGATCCGATTTTGGTGAACAACCACCATATCTGAAAATGTAGCAATAACAAAAGCAATGCTACTAGCAAGGACTGATATTTTCTGTCAGTTTGCTTCATACGACCCAACATTGTATAATGCACTTCCATCATTCGATCCGCCTCGTCGTACCCTACATCCACGAAACTACTCGCATTTATGTGGGGGTAAAGCTGCCGCTTTTTTTTTTGCTTTTTAAGAAAGACGGTAGGTGTTGGTTGAGTACATTCTCCCTAGAATCTTGGCATAGCCGTACCAGCGTGTTCCTAGGTCTCGTTGATTGCAGAGGAATTCCCGGACAAAACTAGTCACAACTTCTCAGACCCAGATAGATGGATAGAGGCTTCGTTGGTGAATGAATGAAAGTGAGGAATTATGCCGATAAGGATGTCGACAAACACCGAGTAAAGTATTCTCAGAAACGCCATCAACCAGCTAACACATGGGAAACACCATAATCATCTTTTCATTCCTACCATCGGTTTCTTAACACAGCAGAGACCTGGTTTCATGTTTCAAAAACTTCGAAAATTTTGTACAACACTCAAAACGTGCATGATGAAAACGAATCTATTGATAAGAGTCAACTATAGATGTATAGATAAGACTATAGATGTATAGATAAGATGTATGTATAGATAACTATAGATAAGACAACTATAGATGTACGAGAGAAATTCTATGAAGAAGCAATCGTCCTCCAGAACAACGATCCGACGGCTGTGCACGTGTTTGTAGCAGAAATAAATGTGCTGTAATGGTAGCGGTAGATGCTTAGCAGATAAGGAGATGATACTCTACATGTCACCACGCCCGAAGCCAACAACTAATGCGGACAAGGATAGCGGAGTCAACAACAAATGTAAACTGTGCTGAACTTCGGACTATTCGTGACGAACAGCTGTCCAAATACCCGAGTATCCAGTAAGAACTTACCTGACCAGATTTACTATAGTGACGCAGTACATTGTGTCGGAGAAGTGGATATTATTAAGAAATCGTGTGCAACTGCAAAGAGAATATACGATGATGGCTAACATCTTTATACAAAAAAGAAAAACGTGAAGAATATGGAACTAACTTTGTCGCGCAATCGATAGCAAAGTCTTTATAGGATTCTGGTAGTGATCTCCATCCACTGTTCTCAAAATCTTTCAGTACCTAAATGGTTAATTACGTTGAAAAAATACAGCGACGACTCAGTTATAAATTGCAAAAAGTGTTCTATTGATAGCAGAGAATAAACTAGAACTGTTGCATTGAGATAGGGTGATTCAATCACAATGATGCTGAGGTATTTGCAAAACTCCAGACTGCAGGTGTCTGCGGTGGTGATCGAACACGATGCTACACTTTACGAGGCCTAATGCGTTCATTACCACACCGTGTCGATCCTTCGCTTCGTCTGTCTCTCAGCTAGTTCTATCGATCTTTTCCCATCAAAAATCACCCGTCAACGGGATTGATCTGAGGAGCCCAAATCAGCATTGAATCCAGTAAAGCTAAGGCTGTAGTAGAAATAATAATGTCAATTTTTTATTTACTGCCTACTACAGTTCTTCACCATTGAGGGGTGATTGCTGATAGTACTGAACGATAGAAATGGCTGAGAGACAGAGGAAACGAAGGATCCGTATGGTGTGGTGGTGAACGCCTTACCCCCTGGAAAGGACAATAGAGCGTTCGTTCCCCGCCGCAGACACCTGCGGTCCGGAGTTTTGCAAATATTTCAGCATTATAGTATTTATATTTCGAAAAATACCCTGTCGTTAAAAGTAATAGGTAGTAAATAAAAAGGTTAAAAACTGTTGATAATATTATAAAGAAACGTTGAGAATATTAGGAATATTCCTCTTTTGGTGCACTACCTTATTGTGATTGAAAAGGATTGCCTCAAGTGTCGAAGTCCACTATAGAAAGAAGTTCATTATCAGAACAGTTTCTTCAGTTGGGAACAAATTTGACATTTTTATACGTAAGCTGTGCCACCACAGAGACTGGCAGGCTTCTATCATTAATTTCTCATCAGAAACTCTACAAAAAATGGATATCACGCCAAAACACAGCTGGTCTTCGTTCTCGAGACTTCTGGGAAATACAGATGATACAAACGGAAGGTAATACACATGAATAAAGATAGTGATTCGAATAATGACCACAAATGAAACTAACCGTAGGTGTGGGCAATGTCCTGCTTTCTAATTCCTCAACGATAGACTGTGACCTGGATAGTTTTCGTTTCACTGGTTGATTTTCGTTACCATCTTTTACCGGTGGACCGGACACATTTTTACCTACGTCAGAAAAGAATGTAGACTGAAATACATATTAGGCAACCAACTAGAATTTTACCCAAAGCTGGCTTTTTTTCCTTGGATAGCGACTTCCCATCCACTGATTGCAACCGTATCGGCATTCTAAATATGTGAAATATGTATTTAGAAAAAAACAGTTTGTAGGTTTTTGAATTCTTTTAAAGTCAGAATAATTCTTCTTGGTTAGTCATAACAAAGAAAACAAAACGCACTTCATCGTTGACTCTTTTTGCGCAATTTCCTTCGTGCTGACGTCGATCACTTCATGAATATGTAACATACCGCCTTCCTTCTTAAGAGCTTTGCATGCTGTGAGCCAGTGAGCTCGACATGATGGCAGAAGTCCGAGGAAAACACGATCAGCAACCATACACGGAGTTACCTGCACAACACTTAATAAGAATGTCACCATAGCTCAAAACCATTACACTCTCATTCCATTCCATCCTTTACTATATTCGTACTTATATGGCTCCTCACTACAAATAGTGGTGAAACCAGTACTTCTTGCACACGATCCGATTTCTCGCATCCATTACCCGCGAAATTCACGTGTGGTCTGAATTCCTCGGAATATTTCTACTCCATATTCTTTCAGAATGCCGACAAAAAATGGTCAAATCGATTCTCTCTGGATACTATAATAAGGGCGTATGTGGCACAGTGGTCAGAGGTGTCCTGTAATTCGCACTAGATCGGCCTGAGGTTTGATCTCATGCCTCAGGCTCATCAAGCCTTCCACTGGTCTCTGTAACCATATTGGTACCAAACCTATAAGGAGGATAGCAGCACTGACTCCATGCATCGGTAGACCACCGCGATTCATTGTATAAGCAAGAACCTCATTCAACCATCCCTACGATCCTTAACGAAGTCGAATGAATCACTCTTAGGAACTGATCAACGCCGGTAGTTCACTCATTATCCATTACCATGGAACAGCTGCTGTGGGGAGCCCTCAGATCATCACCTATTGTAAACGCCATCTTTTCTCGATTAGGAGAAATGAACCGGTCACAGACGAGTCTGGTACCAACTCCCCGACCCCATAGATGGAAAACTTGGTTAGCTTAGTGCTGGTTTTGCACCGCGCATACTGAATAGCATCACTGCCACTGTGCTCTCCTGGTCTCTATTTAACTTTGATTGTCACTCAGCTGTTTCTACCGTACAACAAAAGAGTTGGGTTCAGTCATCCAATTACTGTTGGCCCTACGAAAAACAAGGAAATTTTTTTGTATCAGTATAATTTCAATTCCATGTATGTTTATTTTCTATCTTCTAAAGAGGAAGGCAAATCAAAGCCCTCAGTGGTGCAGTGGAAAACACACGAGCTCCTAGAAACAGTAGTCGTGAGTTCAAATTTAGCAAGAGATCGGGGTTTTGCAAATATCTCAGTAACAGTATGTATTATTCCTTTGATAAGCTTACACGAGGTTTATAAATGGCGTTTGTTTTCGGCCAACGTCTCGTCTTTATCAGAAACGATGATCCGAGTCGATGGTCCACAGTTGTTGGTGTTCTCGAGATGGCGTCTTAGTCGCACATCGAGTCGAGTTTTCCTCAGTGGAGAATCTCTCTCGAATGAGCCATACTCACTCGGCGATGGCCTTTTATACAGGATGGTTCTTGTCGATAGCGGTGATTGTCCGGTAATAGTAATTATGGTAACCACTTGTTTTTGTTGGACAATCCATTCTGTAGAACTCGGCATCATTAGGTACCGAAAATAAACATCATTTATCAACCTCGTTTGGCGTGTAAAAGAAAGAATGCATATTGATTTGCCACACTGAAGTTAAAGGGAAGTCGGTTTCGAAATATCTCAGCATCATTGCAGGCACCCTCTATCTTTTATTCATAGTTCCAATTTTATAAATAGGACTTATGAGCACGGATATGTTTTATGCTGACACTGCCGACACCTCTGACAACCATTTTCCACATACTAACACTTATTATTATTCTTAATTTGTAGGCAGAGAGAATAAGAGGATAATAACAAAGAAAGTTCCCAGTGTTGATGAAACCTTGGAGGAATGCAATCGAAGGAACTCAATCATCGTTAAAGCAGACTGGAAAAAACATTTGGCCTATACAATAACTTTCAATGACTATCGACATATTAGAAAAGTAAGTGCTATTCTTCCAGACAAGTCTGGCACCAGTTTGCAGACCCTAGACGGGTGAAAGGCTCGGTCAGCTTACCACGCAAGACAGAACTATAGACAGCGTGTTGCAAGCCACCTATAACTACTGAGCTAGGTAGATCCTGACAGAGATAAAAATGAAACAAAATTCTTCGAATAAAAAGTGGGTTTCTTAGAAAAGAAGAAAACATATTAATGTGAAGAAAACAAAGAATTTCCAACAATTTATGAAATCTGCACAAATAAAATGGCTTAAAGAAGTGGCTTAGGCATACAAAGGTACAAACAAGCAGAAAGATTTTTGATGATTCCAATGCCCAGTTTTTATAAATGTCACTAATAATTAAAAAGATTATTTTCAAGATTATCATGAATTTTTTTATTTTCATCCCATTTTGCTTGACCCGTCTTCACGTCTATTGTGCGGATCCCAGCACTTCTCACATTCAGTTCGTTTCCTCGCATCCACCATCCACGAACATCTTCCAACTTCACGTGTGACTTCGGTTCCTGTTTGAGGATTTTCATTTCATTTTGAATGTCGTAGAATAGTGGTCGAGTCGATTCTCCCTGGAGTCCTGAGATAGCCGGGCTGGAGCGTTTCCAATTGCATTGCAGAGAGTGGTTCTAGGCCAAGTCCGACACCAATTTCCGGACCCGGAGGGATGAGAGACTTGGTTGGCCCGAAGAGGAATCGGACTACTACCATGCTCGTGATTATGAGCATCACTACGACTGTGCTATCCGCTCCCTATTATTATTGATAATGTTCTGAATTATGAAATTAATCACTTGCATAAAAAATGGTAAGGAAAGCAATATATTTCAGCTGTAAAAACTGGAAAACCGATAGAGATATATGGCAATGGTGAAGTGGTCTATTTATAAGCGATTTCAAAAAGAGTGAATATGTTTTTTCAATAACGTTCAGAAGCATCCCGCTATTAGTTAAACGTTAGTTTTCACATATATATGCATGAGATTAAACGAAGATTCACGTCGGTGGTATTTTTCCGCTCTACTTCAAAATTTTGGAACTCATACAGGAAACTGGAAATGGATGAAGCATACGACCCTAGGTAGTCTCACCGATATTCTTACGTCAACATAAAAGTGCAAGCCAATCAGATTATCAATTGCAGGGTAAGTGTGAATATCTTGATTTTCTTCTATAAGCAAATAGCTACACATTTGGCCAGAAGCACAAAGCGTTCCACGTAAACCGTTGATCAATCCCCCGGGATGCTCCACGCTTTCCAATCCACTACGTGTCGTAAAGTTGAATGGGTGCACACAAAACCTACTGAACGACTTGTAGCGTTTTTAACCTCTAAGATACGTCTGCTGGCGAATTGTCTGCCTACGACGTACAGTGGATTTCGTAAACCGAATACGTTGCATTGAGCCAGCAACCACATTTGTAAGGCATCTCCATCAGAGCACTATATGCACTCTCTATGTGCCATAACGCGAGTGAAATTCACGACATTTGCCTTACTTAGAGTAACTGAATATTTAAGAAAACTGATGGCCTCCAACCCGCCGACAGTCGCCTTCAATTATGACTATGTGGTCTCGAAGGTCGTTGGCTTCGGCGGTTCTTCTCAACGCCTCACACATGTCGTCCGACCAGTCAATGGCAATCACCTGTTTTGCTCCACAGCACTTGAGAAATCGCATAGAGTAGTAGCCAAGACCTAAACGATAACGCTTCCAAGGATGAAAATGTATGAAATGCCTTTATATAAAAGAACTTTTTAGAACTTCTAGATTTATACTGTATTTTCCGATATAAATATTGCTTACTCCACTAAATAGTATAGCACAAGCTGTGATTTACGAACTACAATACACTGCCGACAGTCGACATAACCTACAATCTCCCTGACATTATACTTCCATGTGATTTCTGTGCGGTTGGTCTCTACGTGACATACTTAGTGGAAGGAAGGAAGTAAGAATAGCAAGCATAGGAAGCGGCTCTGAGGAAGGCGAAATCCGCCGAAACGTCAATTTAATCGTGAACAAAGAATAATAACACCTCGCGTTTGCTCAACAAAAATACGAAGAAAATTACTTGATCAATGCCGAGGTTAATAGAAAGTCGGTCGTGACAGTTACAATACACTGCGTTACTCCTTTTGCGTTCACAATCAATTTTAACAAAGGAAGGAAAAGTATGATAAAATCTTCAGACTTAAATGGTTGGCAAAAAAAGTTTGTGACATCTCCATAACTGCAGTAATCGATGTGTTAATAGGACCATGTAAGTTGATTACTCCTCCCAACGCTTTACCGCCTCATTGTGGCTGTGAGGTGTTCCTGGGTGTCGGGCTGCGATGTGCCAGGGGATTCATCACCATGGCAGGGTCTCCCAAGCTGAGGAGTCCAGCGTTTCCATTAGGAAGCCTAGCTAGGAATAAACCAATACAAGGATCCATCACCGTCCTGGCATCAAAGTCTCATGGTGGCAAATCTCCCTATGATCCACAACGGCGGCGACTGCCTCTGGTGGTGAAGACCTGAAACAGACTTTGGCCAGACTGACCTTGGGATTCCAGGAAACCCCAATGACTTAACCAGCAAATCACCGAAAAGTGGAGATTATGCTGAGGCCCACACAATCAGTGAGGATGGGCTATTAAAGTACCAAGTACCAAGTATCTGGGTGATTATTATTAGGAAACATATGGTAATGAAGTTCGGAATATAAAAGGATAAAAGTTTTGGCGTTGATCAATCCCTGAGCGATGCGACATGCATTCGACTTCATACAGCATCGTTTGGAGGTGATTGAATGCATATCTGGCCTTTAGAATGACTCGCAGTAGCCTACCGATGTGTCGAGCGAATGCTGATATCCCCCAAACAGGTCTGGTACCAATTTGCCTACTCCGGAGGAATGGAATGCTTGGTCGGCCATGGACGCGGAGATCAGTTCCACGTGTGTGTTGCAGGGCGTCTCCAACCACTGCACCACACGCGAAGTTCGAAATATACAACATACTAATCATCATGTTTTAACGTTTTGTTTTCTGCCTTCTATAATTTTCATGGCAGGTTACTAAGCGAAATACAACCACAATGTTGCTGAGATATTTGCAAAACTCTGGACCGCAGGTGTCTATGGTGGGGAACGAACGCGCTATTATCCTTTCCGGGGAGTAACGCGTTCACCACCACACCATGCGGGTCCTTTGTTTCGCACGTCTCTCAGCTATTTCTATCGATCTTTTTGCCACAGCAATCACCCGTCAGCGGGGTTGATCTGGGGAGCGCAAATCGGCATAGAACCCAGTTAAGCTATGGCTGTAGTTGAAATCACAATGTTTTAACGTTTTGTTTTCTGCCTTCTAACTACAGCCATAGCTTAACTGGGTTCTATGCCGATTTGCGCTCCCCAGATCAACCCCGCTGACGGGTGATTGCTGTGGCAAAAAGATCGATAGAAATAGCTGAGAGACGTGCGAAACAAAGGACCCGCATGGTGTGGTGGTGAACGCGTTACTCCCCGGAAAGGATAATAGCGCGTTCGTTCCCCACCATAGACACCTGCGGTCCAGAGTTTTGCAAATATCTCAGCAACATTGTGGTTATACTAATCATCTTTTTGTTTATTCAAATAGAAGCTTACGAGTGTGTATTCAATTTTGTTAGTTACCAAACAATGGAATAAACAATAAATAAATCAAAACCAAAACGCACGAACTCAAGAAGCTTTTCTAATTTGTGCCAGTAAATCCTTTCGCACAAAAAGTAATACTTTCTCATTGAATATTTATAGTACGTAGTATATGATTATTTCAGTAAGCACTGATTGCAAATAGTTCGCTTACCGGCATACATGTCTACCACCGTCTCTCCGTGACAATCCCATTCAGATATTCGTTGCATTTCTCTAGTTTTCTTATTGTTGAACACCCTTTTGGAAGCATCGTAGACAAAGCTTAAAGTTGTAAACAGTAAAAAAATCGCACCTTTGTTGGAAATAAGCTAAAAAAGATTATACACTTTTGTCATTACTTCTACAATAAAGGATTAAGGATAAAGCGTTTGACGTTAATCAACACCTTACAGACACAACACGCGTTGTACTCCGGGGGAGATTGAATGGATATTCGACTTTTACTTAACTTGCTGTCAGATACTGATGTTCCATGAAAGTCTTTCTATTCCGCCAGGCAAAAAAAATCAACTGCTTACTCCGAAGAGATGGAGAGCTTAGCTTATCCAGATTTCGGGATCGGAACGTGCAAAGAAGTTTTGGAAAAGGAACTAGTAAGGAGGATACGAATATCATAAAGACAATCATTAAGGAGAGTTGCTGCGTAGATTGACTATGCATGACCATGTTATCTCATTAAATCACACCAGTGTGATTATTTATTATTGTTGTATTATTATTTTATTATTAACATATACATTATTATTATTTATTATTTTATTATATATTTTGTTATTATTATTTGATTTGTGATTATTGTTATTTTTCGAATTATTTATTTTCTATTTTTTTATTTTCTTCTCTTATTTATTGGGTTAACACCCCGTAATTGCCCTCTGAGTGAAGATAAATGGGCCTATACGATACATCTAATGGTTCTCTTGTCTCTTGTGAGCACAGCCTATTAGGTAATTCTGAAAACCACAATGAGAAATTTAGTGGTCGCAGCTCGAATTCCTCAGGAATAAAAATACACACCATGTTAAACGTTAGTAGAGATATGTTGTTTGCTATGTTCCTTACCGTATACCGCGATCATCGACGTGCTCCACCCAGCCATGTTCGCCGAAAAGCAAATCGACGTGCGGAGTTCTGTCGTCGTCATTGCCAATGAAGCGTTTTCGACCAAGGCGAGCGACTTTCAACGATTCCGCCACTACACGCCACAATTCCCGACCTATAAAGCATTGTATTACCATTGAAAATTATGCCATTAAGATAGACCTTCGTCAGTTTTCTTTATGATCTCTTCCTCATAATATTAAATGCCCTTCATTTTGTAACCTAGTCCTCTATGCGAAAAAATACAGCAACCCCTACATAATACGCTATTCAAATGTTTGAATAATCTTCTTGCCTAGGAACACTATTTCCTAGCACTTAATTCTATCATCGGTCAACAGTACTGCCGGCATCCTTCGAGCTGGAGGCCACATACTGCATGCACTTTTTGCAGGGCAGCTGTCACATGATAAGGTAACTTCGAAGGGAATGGTTACCAGACCAGTGGTAGAGTTCACATTCGACTCATGGTTGGTAAGCAAGGAAATCTTTTTAACACTGTCCATATTGCTGGCAGAATACTTCGCAAACTCTTTACGAAGATTAGATCTACGTCATGGAGAATTCAGACCGACAATGCTTAAACTGCATATTTTACATCCAAACTCATAGACACAGAATTCTGCCAGAAATACTTCCTTTCTTCTTTTAACCACGGTCTATTGCGAAAAATCGCCCAGCGTCATCTAGATGGATGGAATTCTATTACCATTCATTGATCAAAGAGTAAATTCTTCCTGCAAAGGAATTGCAGTAGAGTGTGATTTCCAATGGACTTCAAAAAGGCAGTACGTCCATCGCCCCTTACTTTTCGGTCCGATAAGATGATACAGTGAAAATTGTTCAGCGCTGCTATATAATGGATAATGAAGTTACTGAGTTGGGAAAAAAGTACGTGCGCATTGATAGTAAATTTACTACTTATCGTTTTCTGACGACTGCATCACGGTTTAGAATACCAATGAAGAAGAAGTGATTCACGAAAGTCTCACTCAAGCCCAGGGATACTACATCAAAAAAGAAAGAAAAAACCTTATTGTGTGAATAAAGAACAGATCTAGATGGATAGCGACTATGATTAAATAGGCAGCATCAGACGAGTACATACTCAGACTTCTCACCCGTCTCGGGACAGTATTCCAACACACCCCAACCCTCTGCCGCACTGTGGATCGGCGAGTGACTTAAGCGGGCGCCAGTAAATTTTCTATTTCTATCTATTGCGTGCAAGAGCAGCTCAGTGGGTTCCAATTGCTCTAGGGACCTTTTGAGCATCATATCATTCTGCTACGATGACCACTGGATCGATCTTTGTCTTTGAAATCGCGCGGGATCCAGTCACTAACGGCTATTGCCCACTAGTTGTCGTCCATACGCAATACGTGTCCGATAACCTTATCCTATAGGCAATTGATGGATAATTTGCACCATTCCTAAATACTCTTCAAAAAAGGTAATCCTTGTTCTTCTCACTCAATCCTTGATGCTCTTAAAAGCTCTCTAAGCTGCTTGCTTCCTCCTGCTCAACTTTGAAGCAAAGTCGTTCATGATATTGATTTTCCGAACAAGATGTAGCCGGATCATTCGGTGATATTCGTCTAGGTGAGCATGAATGGGGCATACGCATGAACATCGCCTTTCTGAGATTTTGTCGAAGACCGATTTTTCGAAAGGCCGTTTCGAAGTCGGCAAGCACTCCTTCACCTCTGTCTAATGCTTGATGTTATAAGCACTATATCATCAGCAATCCGAAAACGGTATAATTCCCGTCTATTGACATTTATTCCTATGTTGTCCCAGTCGAATCTTCACACGGAATTTTCGAGGGTAAGGTAAATAATTTTAGCGAGACGAATAGCCCTGTCTTCTCCCTTTTTTAGCGCCGATGTTAATATCGTTATACAATAATAGTGTCTATGATGCAAAAATTTTATATAGCTTACGAACAATCTTTATATACCCTGTAGGGACGCCCTGACTATCCAGTGCTCCCATGACGGACTCTATCGCAGCAGAGTCAAAAGCTTTCGTTGAACCAATGAAAGTGAAACAAAGCGGTCCATTGCACCCTCGCGATATTTCAGTGGATCTTTTTGTCGGGTGGATATGGTCCATTGTACTGAATTCTTTTCGAAACCCTTCTTAGTCATACAGCTGTCCTTCGTCCAGTGTTCTGTCAATCTGTTTACGATGACTCGGATGCGACAGACAGTAAAGAACGATCTGAGAAACAGGCGAAACGAAGAACCCGTATGGTGTGGTGGTGAACGCGTTACTCCCCGGAAAGGACAATAGTGCGTTCGTTCCCCACAGTAAACAAATGCGGTCCGGAGTTTTGCAAATATCTCAACTTCATTGAAGTTAGGTTAAGCTACAGTTCTCAACAACGGCGAAGTCACCATTCTTGAACGTTAGCACGGTCCTGCTGATCTTCATGCTGAGTAGGAACCTTGCATTCAGACAGGTAACGTGTGAAACGCTGAGCCAGTGCGTTGATGAGGGCTGACGAAAGATGTTTCTTTTCCTCAGACCTTATCCTCTCCAGACTAGGTGTTGCTCGATTCTTTGTGTGATAAACTATCACGTGGGATTTCGGAGAGCAAAACTGGTGAGACAACATGTCCATCCTCATTTTTTCGTATGAGGGCAAAGAACGTGGCTATCGAAGAGATCGGAGTAGTAATCGCAAATAGTTTTTTCCATTGCCTTCCTGGAAGCTGTGAATGCACCGTCGAAGCGTTGGAGTGTAACAACCTTGATTTTGTAATGGGCGAAATTTTGGTGATTGTTGCGAATGCTTTTACCTGCCTTTGCAGTTTCCACCATAACCGCTGTTCTTGTATCTCTAAGATCTTCCTTTACCGTCTGTCTGCATCGTTTTGGAAGTTCATAGGTAAGCTTGCGGTTGCTCGTGGCTCGTGCGATTCCACGCTGGCGCATCAACTCGAGCATTTCTTGGTCCCTTTCGAACTCTCAGTGTATATAGTGTTAATGTGCGTATGTTAAATAAGCCGACCGTATTCCTCATCGATGTTATTAAGCGCGGCATCTTTCAAACAGCTGACTAATGAACTGAATAAGTCCGAACCGCAGATGTCTCCGCTTCATGGGAATATTTCAGCATCATTGCAGTTATATTTCCATGCCCTGCCACGAGAAAAATAGGTAGTGAACAAGAAGTGACTACATTGAATAAACCATAGTTTATGGTTGTTGGGCATATCGTTCTGTCGACTCAGCGGGTTTTTTTTTCTTCCGGAGATATGAAATCCTATAGAGGGGTAGGCGTGAGTAAAATTTTGCGACAACGGCGCCATCGGTTAAGGAAAACCTTCCATTTACTATCATGTGATATATTTCGTTGTGGCCCTCAAATGGGAGACTCTCAGGTCCAGCGTTGGGAATTGCCAGTTACCACGGATGGTCTTGGTCGTCATCATAAACTCATGCAGCTGCTCACTCTTCTCTTTCCGTTCTAATCTGTGGGCCTTCTAGGATCTCTATACGACGTCTTTCAGACACTCTCCTTCGTTCAGTTTTGGCGTTAGATTCTCCAACGACAATCTTAAAGAAGGTATGGTTTCCTCTGCAAAGCTTGTCCAAGTCCATATAGAACGCTATGACTTCTTCGTCATAGCTCGATGTCGGTGCGTAGACGACGAAGATTGCTAAATTCGGTGTTGATCCATATCTTTTCAACCGTAAGCATTCGATTCAAGTTGTTAGTTGTTCGAACAAATCGATATTCATGGCCAAACTCGCGTTCACGAGACGATGACGCCACCGGCTTCTCCACTATGGAATACTCCGAGAATCAGTTCTTCTACGGTATCATAGACGGCATTCGTTGAATTGGTGACGTATTCTCCTTTTAGAGATTCAGACGCTGACGTATCTCAAAGCGTGCGCTCTAGGTAAAGGTCGCTACCTTCGCGCTTCGATATTTAAGCAGACTAGAATAGTCCTGAGAATTTAGCACCCCATACTCGTCTTACCTTACAAAGCCGTATGGAAACCTCTTTCGGTGCCAGGTGAATGACACACACACGTTTTACTGTGTTGAATGCTTGATACCTACACAAAGCTCGCTGAGTTCTGAACGGAGCGCTAGGTGACTTGCCAATCTTTCCTAGAATAGACAGAGGAGCTTTTTTTGTTGAATGCGAATCGTCCGCGAAAAACCCCTTTCCTGCCAACTGAAGATGGGACACTTCGCTTCGTGAGTAACCTGCAAGAGATCCCACTAAGAGGGACATTTGTGGTCTGAAGTATATATACTCAAACTTCTCAACTTTCCATAGATAATACTCCAGCAATATAATACCCTACGTTTTTTGCTAAAGTGAAGCCATGGAGTACAGTGAAGAGAAAAATTCCTACTTTGCAAAAAATGAAGACCAGATAAGTGGATGGTGCAATGGTTAGTTACGCCCCACATCAGCAAGCAAAGGCTCTAGTTCGACCCCGGGCCAACGCTGTTCCCCAATAAACGTGGAAACGCTTTAATCTGGCTAACTCCAAGATTGCAAGGAGAACTGACTCGACCAGCATTCTACGATACTCATGGAGAAGAGACGAAATCCTCAAGTAGCAGCTGAGAAAACACGCAAAACGTTGGAAGACCATTGTGGATGTTGGATGCCAGAAACGAGTCGAATGCAAGAAGTGCTGGGATCCGTATAGTAGATGTGATGACGGGTCTTGTAAAAAAAAGCGGAGGGCATAAACACTTACCGATATACCTCCAGTTGTTGTGAGTGAATGAATTTTGTGGAAATACAATCATATCGCCGTGTTTCTCCCATTTCTTGGGTAAATCGCGTTGCATTTCATCGTCCCATAGGCCTTTCGATGACGCTAATGAGCGAACCTGGAACGGTAATGAGACACATGCCTTACAATTTTTCATTGGTCATGCAATGTAAAACTTAATATCAACATTGTACCATTGCTATTAAATGCATAAGCTACACTGTTCATATGCGATATAACGGTGATCTGAAATCCTTCTTTCAAAAGGTATGCAAGTTAGGAGCAATAATTCTGTAACCAAATCCGTCGTATATTTACAACTGCGAAAAAATCAAAATGGTCAGAAAGACCTGAAATTATGTGGTCAGGTCGGAAAGAGAACGGAAACTGCAGCTCAACAACTGTGAGCGTGCGACAACTGACCGAATCGCAGAAGACTCGCCGTCACTATGAGAACCTAGCGTGGAAGCAGACGAAGAACTTGAAAGTTTGCATATTCTACATGCTTCTCCAACTAGAGATAAAACAGCAAATTTCGGGTCTTGCTCCAATTGTGCGCAATTCAAGCGGCTACAGTGATGGAAAACAGGATAAATTTGAGCAATATATTAATAGTACCATTGCCAGCTATGGAGTACGGTGCAGTTACGGTTTCCAAAGAGTCGTCAAAGAGAAGTGAGCAGTGAAACGCTTTTTCCTAGTTTTCGTAGGCTCATATCTCAAATACTAGACAGGAAATTATGGTCAGTGGTCGAAAAATCAGCTTAGTCGCGAATGCTTTAAAATGCAAGTGCTTGATCACAAATCAATACAGCAGGTTTTTCCCCACTGAGTTCTTCCCAGCTTTCCTGATCGATAAATGGAAACGGGAAGTACAAGTTTTAAGTTTCTATAAGAGTTTACAACATAGCCATTCTCACATTGTCTTCACATTTTATTGCATTCGCAATACAGAACTACTTTCAAAAAGCCAGCCAGAGAACACGAAATACTCGAGCGGCAATTTTACTCTGTACTTCAAGCCTTCCTCAAAGAAGGCCCTAACACTGGCCTGCGACCTTCTTCTTCAGCTCTTTTCTTTGCTTAAATGAATGAAATTCGAAAATTCTCAGGCATTAAAATAGTCGGAAGTAACCAGTTTTTGACAAATGCTGTAAATGCCCCAAAAATTTAAACAGTATAAAAGCTTAAAAACATCATATAAATAAGGCCTTGCATAATCACGAATAGAGTTAATAACTCTTTAGAAACTATAACGATACTGAACTCGAACCCATGACTACTCCTATCGGCGACTCACGTGCTATTTGCCATACCAGTTGAGGGCATTGCTTTCCTCCCTCTTAGCCATGTGTTCACTCTAACGGTGCTATAAGCAACCACCCGTCAACAGAAATGATATGGGAACCACAAATCGCATATAATCCAGTTCAGCTGACGGACGCTGTAGAAGAAATCACAATGTTTTAACTTTTGACGTTCCGCCTATTCCTTTTTCATGTTCTCCAATATTGCTATTTTCTGCATTTTTCGAGGGGCTAGGTAGAATAGTGGTAGTGACGCCGATTATAAGGAGCATGGTGCTGATTCGGTCTCGTCTCCACCTCATCAACCCTCTCACCCCTCTGTGGTCTAGGAATTTCTACCAGAGTTGCTTGGAAATTCTCACTCTTTGTAATCCAAATAGAAGCGCTCTTGTACGGCTGCCTCAGAACATTTATGACGAAGAGAAAATCGTAAAGCAACAGCCGAACCCATACGCAAATGTTAGAAAACCATCGTGGATGATGGATGTGGGAAAACGAATCATGTGCAAGGAGTGCGGAGCCCGCACAGTAGAGGTGAAAGACGAGTCGTGTTAAATGCGAAGAAAAATCTTTTTTCATGGCGGGGTACAATGGGGAATACAATCATAGAGCCTAAGTTGGTGTGGTGGACAGCACATGATCCTAGGCAAAGGTAATCGAAGGTTTGAAGGCCAATTGAGGTTCCGAATTTCGTCATATCACAGAATCTCTATACTTGTTATTTTGCACGCCATGAAAAAAGACTAGGCAGAAAAGAAAAAGTTAAAACACTGTACCTTCGGAACTATTCGTTTAATAAATTGTTTAAATTTATTTGAAATTCAAGGCTTCAAAAATGTTGAGCATGTTAAAGATTCTGGAAACTTTGACCCAAGTTGTACACAAGCCGGTAATTGTAAACATAAATAACGTTGTAATTTTCAAACAAATCAATCAATTTAACCTTAACACGAGGTGTTACTTTATTCTTTATTCCGTTAAAGATGACGTTTCGGCAGATTTTGCCTTCCTCAGAGCCTGGAAAGGTCAAGCTGATAGCAATCTATCAGACCAAACACCTCCATAACCAAACAGAGAAAACGCTAAACCAAGCCAACTAAACCAACGAAAACGCTGACCCGGATGGTGTAGTGGTGAAGTCATTTCATACGAGCTAAACCAAGATTTAAATCGCATTGAAACCAAACACCTCCACGTTTGGCCGGATAGAATGCTTTCAGCTTAACCTTTCCAAGTTCTGAGAAAGGTGGAATCCGTCGAAACGTCAGCTTTAACGGAATAAAGAATAAAGCAACACCTCGTGTTTGCTAAACAAGATTATCAAGAACTATTTGATCAATGCCGAGGTTAATAGGAAGTCGGTCGTGGGATCTGTTAACCTTAACAATCCAAAAGGTACAAATGATGCTTTCATGGACTTCTTTGCGTCCTTTCGGACTAAATTTCTATTCTCTGTTCGAACTTCGCACCTCTGCCAACAAAAAAGTGAGTATAAACAATTTGTAGGCTCCAGAAGAAAAACTCCGTTAATGTGCAAATTAAGCCATGGGCTTAAGAAATTTCGTTTAATATTCAAAGGCTAGACTATTTGAGGCCAAATGCCCACTGAAATCAATGGACACTTCCGAAAAAGTTTTAAATGCAATGGTCTGTTCTTGAAATGTTAGTATTTTTCTCGTTATATTTCTGACCATTCCTGGGTATAGGCGTAGGAAGAAGCAACGTCTTCAAGAAATCATCGACTCTCGCAGTAAGCAAATTATAACCGAAATATGTGTCACATTAATAGTAAAATGGATGTGCAACAGCTCAAAAGTACGTTGTGTAAGCGACTTGCCAACCAATCATCGTTGTAAATGACAGATTGCAGCGCTTTGTTTTAAAAACTACGACTAACAGCAATAGTAATGATAACAGCAACCCAATTGTTTACCGCTTCGTCCCAGCTGAGGTGCGACTCTGGATGCTAAACTATGGGGGAGTGGGAGTGGGAATAGTGTGCAACCAACAGCAAAAATCGCAAAAACTGAGCAGTTTGGTAAAGGAGTCCCACAACTTCATACGGAAGTTAAGGAACGTCGTTGTAGTCAAAATAGTTCCAATGTACCTCTCTCTAATCAAGAACAGCTACAGGCTGATTTTCGCGATGGCCTCAGAATGTCCTAACTCATCTACTTAGAGAGGCGAATACCTACTTAATTAGATGGTTAGACGAATTCACATCTATTGCGACTAACAGAGGTTTTTCCACTTGTCTCTTTGTCTTGCAACTATCAGGAACGGCAACGATATCTGTGATAGCAACGAGTCTCGCAATTTCTTGCCTGGTCGCTCAAAGTCGATGTAAGAAGCCGAATAGGTCTAGACTAGAAACTCGAACTAAGAGATGAATGCACAAACTTCTTCAGCCAGCAATGAACAAGCAATAGTCGACCGCAAACTAGGTGCTTTGCCTACGGCGAGGTAACCAGCGAGTAAAAGAATTTTTAGTTACACAGGTTACGGCGTTTGAACAGATTAAAAAAGACAGGCCCGTAGCACATTATGGAAACCACTTCTTGCTTAACATTTACAGATTGTTCTGAGCCAGGTGTTTACGATTTACTGGAGTTTAGAAACTAAACTGATACTCACGTTGCCGCTGTGGCAACAGATTTCTGAGAGGAAGCACATGCATATCAGAATTATGGAACCTTTATTGAATACAAAATAGCGTGACGAAATGCCAATGTAGTTTCGCGATAAATCATTACCTACTACGTCGTTCACACGGTCTCATACCGTATTTTCTGTTATCTTCCGTCGTGCTCCGTTTTGATCCTCAACGTCAGTAGAATTTCAGTAATTATCTTTCGCTACTCACCAATCTATGCAGTTGATCAAAACAGCTGTGCTTTTTAACTAATTATTGGAAGTGGTCCACAAATAAAAGTCCTTCTATAAACTTTCTATCCAAGACAACAATGCAGCAACAGGATAGTTTAATGAAAGCGAGTAAGAGACGCAAAAAATTCTAACACGAGATGGAAATGAGACTGGTACATCAATCCTGAGAGCACACTTTTTATATGGAAACGCATTTCCGGAAAAGTAAAATTGCTGGTATACATTGCAGCTGCCTAATGGCACGACTCATACGGATTTCTCACAAAGGGAAAGTTATGTGTTCTGAACATCTACGTAGTGCCATTCTACGATATCAGACTTAGTCACTGTCCTCACAGGCGACGATTAGGCTCAGCTAAATATTGGGAGGATCGTGCGGAAAAAAAAACACTACGAACGGTATCGTTCCACTATACGGTTTAAAGAATAAAAAAGACGTCTCAGTTATTTGACCAAGAACCTCATAAAGGACTTGTGCCAGCAACAACGATTTACCAGGAAGAGAAGAAAACTTAAGCTGTGGTGCTTGTGGACTAAATTATAATGCTGAAAAAATGTAGCTGAAAAAACTATTCAATATTAATTGCAGTCTACTGAAAAATAAAGCTACAACAACACCAACTCCTTCCATTGAATTGATGGCGGAAAATCGTTTCAGTTCCATAACTCTCCTCCCAGACTCCCAAATAAAATAAAAAAGAAAATATGAACAAAGGCGAAGCTTGGAATCCGTTCGGACCTCCCAAATGGACCATTGATGCTGAGCTTCACAGGACAATACACTTTAGCAGTATTTTTGATTCGGCAATCACGCTGTTATCCAACTATAACTTGCTTTACACTTCCACCTCACCGACGCTTTAGAGCATTACCCAAAAATCAGTTGAGTGATGAAACGTTATCTAAATTATTTATAACCGATGCTCATAATACTAAGCCACATTTTAAAGTTAGGCCTTCGGAAAACGCCTCTCATAGTGGTCCAGCGAAATAAAAATATTCAACAACTAAATATAGTTCCGTTCCTGATGCGAGTGAAAGAACCGGCAAAATTTAGAGAGAACACATGTTTGAGTGAACACATAAAAACACAAGCCACCTCTAGGTCAGCCTCATATATCATGTTAACTACATCTGTAAATATTCATGTATCATGGAATGATACTCGTGGCCATCATGGCGGTCCACCAATGTGGGTAACGGTTGCCAAGGATCTATGCGAATGAAATATTCGATGGCACTTGTACAAACGACGAGGCACGCTGTTCAAGTATCTGCTATGTAATAACATCACCATTAACAGTGATATTACTGGAAGTTA